TATAAAAACATACATATATATATATATATACATATATATATATAAATCTAAAGGTAAAAACGGCAATAATATTAATAACAACAACAATGTTATTGTTGTAAGATATCATGGGTGTGCGCTGTGCTAGCTGAGTGACTAGCTGATCGTGTTTGAAAGCGTTAAACCAAAGATTAAAAAAACAAAAAACAAAAAAATTACCATAAAAAGAAACAACAAGCAAACAAACATCTTGATAGCGTAGCCATTGGCTTTTCTCACTTCATTTAATGAATTAATTTAAAAACAGTTTTTTTTTCTTCTTTTTATGTATGTTTTGAAAGGTGTTTTCGGGTATTTCCAAAATTTTAAATAATATTTATATGTATGATGGTTGATATAACGGACGTCAATATTTTGCTTAGTTAAAAAAAAATAAAAAACAAAGAAAAAAGAAAAAATTAACATGTATAACAAAGGAACAGAAAAATGTCAGGTGTGATAGCCTCGCCTTATCTATAAACACTACAAATTGGATTAAATACTTTTCCTTTTTTTTTTTTGCTTTTTTACTATTTATCAATACAAAAATATTTCATTTATAAAATATTTTTTAACCGAAATAAGAAAGCAAGAAATAGAGGCGAGGAGGTTAGGCTCAGCGATCGAAGCTAAATATACGAATCTAGCATAAACACTTGTTGTTGTTGCTATTTGCCTATCTATAGCATCGACGAGCTATCATATATTTATTTTTCTCATTCTATATCTCAGAATCAACAGATATATATCAGAACCTTTAATAGATCGGCCTTTAGAGATTTCTATAAAAAAAAAAGAAAAAAAATTAAATATCAAGATTGCGAATGAGTAGCACTCAGCAGCGAAAACTACCGCCGTAATATAGTTGAGTATTCAATATTTTTCACAAGCCAGATTCCTATGCGTGATGATGGATGATATTCGAATTTCGATCGGAATAGTTAACTGAAATTTGGTGCAAAGGACGGACAAGCTTATCTTTGAAACAGAGGCTACTTAAAATGTTCGATCGGTGCATAGATGTATGTACGCTCCCACGGATCTAAAGGATTTTTTTTTTGGTTTTTACTTTATATAACTAATGAGTTACACACGGAAGGATAAATTTAATATGCATATATATTACGACAATATCGCTATAGGTAATACGTATAGATATGCAAGTTTGATGTATCGTATGTTTGTGTATGTACATAAGTATTACTCTTTAGTAACCTGTATTTTTTTATTATTATTATTATTATTATTATTATTATATTTATTTATATGTGCATGAAAAACTCGTCATCAAAAAATTACAATAATAACAACGAAATAACAAAAACGACATTAACAATATAAGAAACATGAAAATGATAATAAAATTAACAAAAAAAAATAAATAAATAAATAAAAAAGAAAATAACAACAACTCACAATCACACAACACACACACACACACACACACATACACACAGATGCGCGCGCGTATATACTATAATATAATATAAAATAGCGGTTGTTGATCGTAAACAATTTATGCCATCCATGACAATTGCAAGTTTCCGAAGAAACGCTATAAACACAACGACACGTGTAAGCGATAAAAAAAGAATAATGTTCAGTACTACTACTACTACTACTACTACTACTACTCTTCTCTTCACTTTCCGCATTAGGACCGAAGAACTCTCTTTACCCCATAAACACATGACACGAACACACACGCACGTACACGTATATATATAAATGTGTATACACTCATTTTACAATTGCCCGAGAAATTATATTCGTTTTATGCTTTATTGTACACAACAACAACAACAACAACAGTGTCATACAACGTGCATGCATTTCGTTCATTCTCATTTTTAAAGCGCGGAGAGAGAGAGAGAGAGAGAGAGAGAGAGAGTACATATATATGTGGATATGAATGCATATATATATATATATATATATATATATATATATATGAGCCAGTATACCCGTTTATAGTTAGAATTGAGAATTTTCAATTTCATTTTTAATTGGCTCTCATTTTTGTAGAGAAGACGTGAGAACTTTCTAAATCATTAATTATACATAATATCTACGTACCCACAAACATACATATTATACGCACAAAAAACGTACATAATAATAATAAAAAAAAAAAAAATATATGTATGTATGAAAAAAATCCAGTTTTGTTTGTTTCTAAAAACAATCAACAAAACTCATTATTAACTAAAAAAAAAAAAAAAAAATAAATAAATAAATAAATAAACCGAAAATTTAATTAGATAATTAAAAATGAAAGCGAAGCCCGCACACACACTAACACATCTAAAATATATTCATTAAAAAAAAAAAGTCCTATAAATTTACAACACATCTATATATACATATGTATGCACTAAAAAATTTCAAAAATGTTTTCGTTCCGAGTTCATGATAATTCTCATGAAAATTAAAAAAAAATAAATAAATAAATAAAAAAAAAAGTAAATAAATCATGGGAAAATTGTATTTACAAAATTCTCATAAAAAATTCTAATAAAATTTTAACTATGTTGAGAAATATTTTTAAAAATAATTTTTAATACCACAATATGTATTATGTATTATATATTGGACCATATTTCTGTTCCCCTTCTCTGCACTACTACTTGCAAATTTCAACTATTTCGGATTGGGAATTTTGAGAAATATTATGGGAATTGTAAAATGTAAGCAAACATGAAATGAAATGAATTATGAGATATGCTTTCATTGGATATGTAGATATAATTCATTGTTGTTATTGTTATTGTTGTTTTTTGTTTAAAAATAAAAAAAGCTCTTACTTCAAGAAAATGATGGCGAAAAAGTAATTTATTTAAATTATTGTTTATTACGAGCTACACGGTTTTTTTTTTTTTTTTTGCATCTGTCTGACAGCATATATGAACACAACTTAAAGCTAATCCCGGAACGAGTCGATTTTTGGCTACCGCCATATGACTGAAAACCCAATTCAAGTCAATTGGGACATAAAGTCAACCACTGAGACAGACAGAGTAATGTGTATCTTGTACCCAGTGGGTAAATTTGCACGTTTTGCACATTTACTCTTGTTAACACTGCTGGAGGAGCAGCATGTTGCTCGATATTGCTTCACCAATGATACTTACAAAAAAAAATTGAACTTGGTCGGGAAGGAATTTTTTATACCTATCATCGTTATCCTATATAAAAAGAGGCAAAAGAAGTAGAAAAACAAAATTTTCCCGCTCTATAATATGGAGCCGAGCGCAGCTGATTTCATCCATTTCTTTCATTTTAACTGAAGTTGCGCATACAGACAGATGGACAGACAAACAGGCGGACATGATTAAGTAGTGCATTCTAAATTTGAAATTTGCCAAGACTTTGCATACTTTATGGGATTTTTTGAAGCTTGTTTCTACGCGCACTGAAGAAGGCACTGCAAAAAAATAAATAAAATTTTGATACACTATAATATATTATTAAGTGGGTAGACGTTTTCAAATTTTGCCCATTTTTATTATGAGCAATACTAGCGGCATCGTCCACAGAATATACGTTCAAATTTTTGTAGATTTATTTGCTAAAGTTTATGAGTAGTAACGAGGAAGAGAAACCGACTTTTTATTCCTTTGAAAGACATAGATGCTCTCAGTTTATGTGATACTGTAGGCGTATCCTTGGACCGATTTAGCTTATTTTCAATACCAACATAGGCGTGCAATAACTTTTAATGTTTGTGCAAGATTTGAAGTCGATAGCTTCATTTTTGCGGGCAAAAGAATGTTTATGAACGGACGGACGAACGGACATGCTTAAATCGTTTCAGAATTTAATGCTAATCAAGCATATACATTTATATATATACACTTTGTGGTATGTCTGATGCTTCCTTGTGGCCGTTGCAAACGTTTTGACAAAATAAATATACCCCGCGTCCTTTGGCGATGGGTACAAAAAAAAAAAGAAGAAAAACGCTTTCCTTTTAATTTCACTAACAACGCAATAAGAAATTTGTTTGCATTGATTTTGCGATGAATTTGTGATGATCGCAACTTTGAAAGTTTCGAAAATTTCCACCTTAGTAGTGGGCGTGATATTTGAACTTTACAATGGTCTCATTAATAAATGCATTGAACGACTCTTTAATAAACATTTTCAGGAATTAAGTAAAGCGATTGATCAATAAAATTCGAATAAATAAACGAAAAAACTTGGCAAACTTTGTAGCCTCTATGTCTCAACAATGTCTAAGATGGTGATGATAGTGGAAGGAAAATATGATATATGAATATATTTCTCTTATGAAAAACGAATGGTAATAAATTTTTGTTGTTGTCTTCCCATAAGAATTATCGAAAATTTTGCTTTTACTTAGAAGGAAAGTCTTCTCTTTTTTACTGCAAAAGTAAGCTGACACAATCAATTATATGTCAATTACAGGATTAAATATTTTCATAATGCGCTATTTTCGATTGATTCAATTGATTCAAGTCCTAAATGCATTCTATTCTTTCTATATATCATGCTGGAGAGTTTTCTTATATTACCAGCATTCATCACTAAAATGCTTCTTGGTAAAAATTTAAAAAGTTACCAAAAATTATATGAATATATATATCTGAACTAATAATATAATAATCATTTTAGAATCATAATAATTTGCGGAGCGTATAAAAGAAAAAAAAAAAAAAAAAAAATACTTTGACAAAATTGTTTTTGAAACGAGTTTTTTAAGCAACTTTTTCAAATTTCATATTTCTATTGATTATAAATTATGAAAACATTTATAAAAAAAAAAAAAAAAAAAAAAAAAAATTATTTCGATCTAAAGTCCATCTCGACACACAATAAATTTGAATATTTTTTACTCTTTCTTATATGTATATATATATATAGACAATTATCATGAATATGTTATATTTGAACATAGTTCGGCAAAATCAAACAATGGTTTTCATCTTGAATATAAAATATGAATAAATATTTTAACTTACTTGCATATTCACGACGTGTATTAATATCGACTGCTAAGTAGACCATACTGAAGCTGCCTTCGCCTATGTATTTGCCAAAAATGAAATCTTTTGGCGATTTCTTTGGTGGTGTTATAGCAGATGATGATGACGACGACGATGACGATGATGATGATAATGATGATGATGATAGTGTAGTTGTTGTTGCTGTTGTTGCTGCTGCTGCTGAATTTATAGGATTTAAAGTAGGACAATCAGTATTATTTGATATCGATGAAGAGGATGCTACTGCCGCTACTGATGCTGTTGTAATAGTATACTCTGGTAAACCGTTGCTTTGTTGTATATAACGTTGGCGGCAGCAAATATTACTGTTTCGTTGAGGTGTATTGTTAATATTATTAACGGTAGACGACGACGACGACGACGACGACGACTGAGCAGCCATAGCTTCAGTTAAGGGAGATGAATGTCCTAAAAAGAGAATACAAAATTTTTTTCTGCTTTTAATATTACGTTTGATAAAAACTATTTACGAGATTGTAAGAACGAAAATGTTATGGCAGTCATAAGTCATTTGATTGCAGCAACGAAGAGAACCTATGGTTAAACGGTTTTTTTTTTGTATTGTGTTTAGATTCGCTCTTAACGCTGAGTACACTTTGTCCTGCCTATTTAAAATTAATCGAATTAAAAGAGTTAAGCAAAATATTCCTTAGTCCGATCAGATGACTGATCGTAACTTATTAATGCTCAAGCTGGGCTGAAATGTGTGCCGGTGTTCAAGCTATGTGTCATTTTTTAATAGTAAAAGCCTTAGAGAAGAAGTCAATAATTCGTTATATGAATATATCACAGTCGGATATTGGTAACGAGTGTTATGAAATGAAAAAACCCCACTTTAATACGGCGTAATAGAATGCGTGATATGCGAAGGCGACAAATTGCGATCTAAATAAAGCTAGTTTGAAAGATCTGATTGATGACAATTGTGCGATGGAATATCTCGTAGTCAAGATTTCTAATAATAATAAGAAATGTTTAATTGTATGTATGTCTTTAACGGAAGATGTTGGTTGAATTATCGATCCATGTTGGAATACTTTCGAATGATTTGTGTGGAAAACGATTACTGGATACAACAACAACAAAAACATTCTCATCAAACAATTTCTCTGAATGTATTAATAATAGACTTGCACTTTTAGATCTCCTCCATATATATCCGATAGATCTCTTAGGTTTTTTTTTTTGATTACTTCCCTATGGCCATGAAATGTTCTTTATAGCATATAATATTGAATTACTCAGCCATATCTCGATATATCTTAATTTTGACGACTTAAGGTCTTGAGAGTTCTTGCACATACCGGAGTACAGTATTTTTCTTAAATTAATGACCCGACTTGCATAACTTATTCTATGAACTCTTCGCTATCGAGACATGCTTTGCCAAGCCGGCATGATTCGTTATTGATAGTATTAAACCGATTAGAGACTGCGACGAGGTGTTCAATGTCATTCGAATGCACTTAGTTGAGCAGCGTTTCATAAGTTTACGAAGAAGAGTACATGATATCACACACGTCACATGAAGAGACTGTACTTTGTTTGAAAAATGAAGAATACTCAGCGTTTCCATTGAAAATATTATGAAAAAATATATCCCGATAATTTACACGACTAGTCTATGGAAAGTAATCTCATCAAAACGCCACTAAAAATAGCTCTCTGAGTTTAATGACTTACAATGCAGACACCGCGACAAACTTTCGTTTGAAAGTTTTTTTACCGAGGAAAAAGTGCGGGTGAGCTCGACATTGTATAAGGTGCAATATGCCTAGGTCATGATAATATGGGCCTAGTCAGTCCTTCCGTATGCAATCAATTATTATTAATTGTGTATTCAATGAGTTGTTATTATCCCGGTTGAAAGATGAGTTTTCTTTAGTTGCTCGGAAGATTTTTCTCCCATCAGTATTTTATCGGCCCTAGCAAAGGTTTTATTCGGGAAACTTAGTAGCACAGATAAAACGATATATACGACTTATAAATAATCCCAAAATCTGGCTATATCTTTGGATGCAGTTGAAACACTGCATTGCTTAAATTTCTGAAAGACATCAGTTCTGGGCAACAACACAACCCTAGTTATGATTGATTTCTCCAAAGCCTTTCATATTGTAAATCATAGCTTTTATTTCACCTTTCATCTCACAGATCTTCACAGGTCTTACGATGTCTCAATTACGTAATCGTCGTTCTTGTGGATAAATAAGATCACCCTAAAGCCTGATATTCTCCAAAGCTCTACACTAGTGAGGGCCAATTTTGTTTTTGCTATTGTATATTCATAGACGATTTGGTTGCTTTATGCCTAAACTGCAACAATTGTTTGTATGCTGATCTATTTCTCTCGTCCTCGTGGACTTGTAGCTGACTTGGCCCATCGGATTGATATCCGATCTGGATCGGATTGTGTAGTGTACTTTGATATAAACGCAATTTAAACTTGAACTCCATAGATGCCAAGTGGCGGTAATCAAGTGCGCGAGATTGGTTTTGCTGTAAACCTAAGCACGATTGGATATCATTTGATGCCTCCTCCAACATTTTAGATGTCAATCGACTGACTTGATTAAACTTCACTAAGAAACTTAATATTCATCAATAAGATTATTCACACCGCTATTCCGAGTTACTTGTACGATAAACATTTCACTCTACAGTATATCTTATATTGCCAAAGCATAGGTAAATTGTGTCTTCAAGACACAATTTTTTTTCTGCTTTTTCACTGTAAAGATATGGAAATCTTTGCATGCAAGTATCAGGCAAGTTGAATATCAAAGGTAGGGCATTTACAGTACAGACGTATCAGTCCGTGATTATTGTAATCTGATTACATGTCCCATTTTATGATCACTCTCCCGATAAGATTGAGCGTAACTATCCGGTCTATTTGCTTTACAATGATATTGTTTACTTAAGAGATTCTGTAAGGGATGGTCGGTCAGTCGGTCGATTAATGGCTAGACCTCCTCCCGAAATACTATTTATTATCATCTAATGGTTTATAATTCTTTATAAATGTACTGTACTGTAAGAGACAAGCATGCAGTCTTATTAGTAGTACATTGTAATTACTTGTGTGTGTGTGTGTGTGTGTGTGTGTGTGTATGTGTGTACATTATTAATCTCAATTTAATTTAGAGTTAATTTACTCTTAAGTAGATAAATTGAATAACTTGACTAAAGAAGCAAAAAAAAAATAATAAATAAATAAAAAAAAAAATTTTTTTTTTTTAAGAATTTTTTCAAACTTCTCTTATCAACTTACCATTACTTATATATTTATGGCGCATGGAACTGTCTGTTGTGGCCGAAGCATTACCGCAACCGCATAAACTTTGTTGCCGTGTTGTAGTTAAGTTGTGCTGCTGTGTTATTGAATTTAAAGAATTTGTGTTATTCGCATTTGGGGGAGTGGTTACTGGCAAACGACCATTTGTCGTCGCAACTGTTACGGTGGTAGCCATGGCAGCAGCCGAGGCGGCTGTGGCTGCTGCAACTGTTGCCGATGTGGCCAATTCTTTAAGTTTTAATTCACTAAAATTACTTTCATTCAATGACACTGCTGTAGCCTTCTCTTTGGGCATAGCTGGCATGTTGCTGCAGCAATTACTCAGATAGCCTTGTTGTGATTGCTGCTGCTGCTGCTGCTGCTGCTGAGCAGTGTTCGAATTTGCGGTTATTGAAGATTGCTGTGAATGCTGCTGCTGCTGTTGATCGTTAATCTGTAACAATTCATGAAAACAATGTGAAAATAAATAACTTTGAATTAGAGAAGCAAAGCAATCCCTCACTTTTTTAACTAAAGAGCTTCTTTTTATTTTTTTTTTTATTTATGTTATGTACGTATAAATGTATGTATGTATGTATGTATGTATATATGTATTTATGTATGTATGCGTGTATGTGTTTATGTAGAAAAACGAAAATTAAAACGTTTACAAAACGTGCCTTTGACTAATTTGGAGAAAAATCACGTAGCGCTAGATATAGATAGATAAACAAACGAAGGTAATCACTTCATAAATTATTTCAGTGTAAAGTCATAATAAAAACTTACAAAGTAATAGTCATTAACGTAAACATCATAAAGCGTAGAAGTACTAGGTAAAATATAAAATATGAAGGAAAAAAAAAAAAAAAAAAATATGAGAGACAAGACAGAGGCTTTCGTTATTGACAGGTAAGTGAATGTAATTAATTGCTGGTACAAATTGTATGGGGTCAAGGTTGTTCTTTCCGTTTCATATACGATGATGTAAAAGCATAGGGACGAATAGGGTCGCCTCTCCCTCTCTCTCCCTAAATCTTTCTCTTGACCCATCATATTTGTCAGTTATTATGAGCATAATTTTTATCTGCAATGCTTTGTAACATTCGAAGATGACGACTGCAACCTCCTACCCCTCTTCAACTTCTTCCTCGTACTTCTCATCTTAATCGTTTATACGCTATGGAGTTTTTTTTTTTTTTTTTTTTTTTTGGAAAAACAAATCATTTATTATTAAAAACCATTTGATTTTTCCCATTTGTTTCATTTCAACAGCTCGTACTTCTTGAGCGACATTGGATTTAAATTTAAAACAAATAAGAGGGATTAATATACACAAGAGGAGATGCGTTCTTCTTCTCTTTCTTCTTGTCCTTTTTGAACTCTCTCTTTTGCAAACTCAAATTACATCCCGATAATAATTTTTAAGAAGTGAGTGCGAGTAGCAATTATTTAAATCAAGGACGAGCCGTACTTAGCAACCAACGACGACGATAAATCAAATTTTTGTGCATAGCTGATTTTTTACGTTTATGTGGACTGCGTAAATAATGAATAAATATGTCAGTTTTCGTTCCGAACCGATTTAGCCTAATAACCAATCTCCGCGTAGGAACTTACGATGTTTTCGCTTCATTTTGAATACATGTATCTTAGGTTTTTGCTGTTTAGAAGAATGTTGACCATAGACATCACATAGACGAATTTAAATGCATTCAATATCTATATAAATATATATTTTAGCTAGCCTTTGCAACGTCCTTCTGGGTATTGCAAACGTTTTAACAAAATGAATATACCCTTGTCGTGCTGTGTGTAAGAAAGCAAATCCTCGATGACTCAGTACACGTTTTCGTTCAAGAAAGATTCTTAAAAGCTCGCAAAAATAATCGCAAAGATACATTTTGCCCCCTCAAAAAGCCTCCAGTCACTATATATATATATATATTTTTCTTATTATTGTTGTTTTTTATTTTTAGCATAGCCGGTTTG